TTGAAATCTACCTCTCAATTTGCGTGACACACATTCAAATTTAGAAAATTTTGTCAAAAAGCACACCTATTTTAACATCATAATGATGACTTAATGGCAGTATGATGCCCTTTCTTGTTCAGTGTGAATATGTGCTATTTCGGCTCTTCTACAGTTGCTGTTGCTTTTTCGTCTGCATTTTCGTCCTCACGTTATTCACTACTTTTTTAGACTGAATAAGCGACGGCAATGGAAGTTTATTAACGCACCTCGCTTCGTTTTCTCAAAGTTATACCTTTACGTTAAACGTTTCCACCTCTAACTAATGTGTCCAATGGAGGACCCCGCACTTTTTGATACATGCTTCTGAAGTCCGAAACACAAAAAAAAAAAACGAAAATCACTATAAGAGTCATTGCCTTCTCCTTTCCTCATCTTTGCATAGCAAAGCTCTGAACATCCGTAATTCTCACTGTTGAATCTGTACGGACTTACTGCATTGTGTGTTAAGTTTATCCTAGTAAAATCATTGCCTATTAGAGGAAGCCCTGCTGAACTGGGAAATCCAATTGAGCATCGTTAACACTTGACATTTTACAATAAAAAGCGATTCAAAGCAAATAAGAAGAGACGAATTAAGAAATGCAGAAGTTTCGTTGATGATATCTGAAATTGTGTGAACAGTGACATGATATTTGTAACTCCGTAATGTTTACACGATAGCTACGCAGGAAGGTCGAGCTGTCAGCTGAACTACTCAAGATGGCAGGCAATTGAAGTAGACATGCACCAGTCGAGCATGACAGCTAACGTTTCAACAAATTTCCTGACGCTTGTCTGATGAGTTGAGCGACCTCATTCAGTCACATCATGGCATACCTTCAATAGGGCTGCTGGGTTTCCACTATGACTTTTATAAGCGACCAGAATATTATAAAGTACTATTGCAAAATGTTCAATTAGCAATTTTTTTTACTATTGAATCATTTAGATTTTTCAGTGCCACATTTTTCATTTCAGTAATTACAGTAGCTGAATACTGATATGTGTAATAAGGATTCATATGTGTTTGAGAGAAATTAAGAAATTGAGTGAACGAGTGATACGGCTATGTTTTCGACATCGGGTTGGATATTGTGCAAGAGAAGGTAATCCAGTGATGCTGCTATGGTTAGAGGTGTACTGCAATTCACACAATATCGGCCGTTAGTTTGGCTCCGCTCCTTAGAAAAAACTACTTAACCTTACCTTCAGGGTGGGTAGACTGATATTAGGCTATATATCCAATGATTCTGAGTGATACGCAAAGTTCCGAAATCACGCGAAAGTGAAATATGCTATATCCACATCGGAGCACGTGCTAGCTATATGGTTATCAGCACAAACCCATTAACGTTGATCGCTAATAGCCTAAGAATCGTAGAGAGAATGATGCAGAGCAGCGAGGTTGGTGGTGTAATGGTGGCACGTGTTTCCGGTATAGGTAAGACGCGAATCAACTCACACCTGAGCTTCGGAGTTTTGCATGTTGCTCAGCATCCATCGATTTATAGTTGTAATATCATAAGAGTAAGGAGCGCATGTGGCGCAGTAGTTAGAGGTGTTCTGCGTCGCACACAAGGTCAATAATTTAATCACGCGCTCATGGCTCACCAAGCCATCCATTCCTTCGGGATCGTTGTATTGGTATCGAACTGGTCGAAGACTTGTCTAGGAGGATAAGCAACACTGACTACTGACTTGGTACAACGGGAGGCCAACGTGAGTTTTTGTAAAGACCAGATATGCATTCAGTCACCTCAAACGAAGTTAAAGATGGAATACGAACGCATGGCGCATCCCAAAGAATTGAGCAACGTCTAGAGCTTTATCCTTTATCCTTATCATTACATTGCCACAAATGGGGCGGAATAAAAACGCTCTTGATGCCACACTTTGTCCGAGAGGGCAAAATGTATATAATTGACAAGATATTGTATTATTTAGGCCTAATACGCATTTGATACCTCTGTGATACACGACTAGATTGCACATCCTGAAGATAATAATCAATAACAAAAGCTCTATTCTTTAATCCTACGCTTTATCCTCCAGGTTCATCTTATAGGTGTGCTGTTTAGTTTGAGTGTATATGTCCGACAAACATAAAAAAAAAACTATTGCAGACGAAAACTGTATAACTTGAGAATCACTGCGGTTTTCTGTCTTCATCATGTCCTCACAAACAACATCAGACGCAAAAGAGAGCTATTTTGTATTTGCACAGCTGGTTAGGCAAAAAAAAATCATCACTCATGATTACATAAAATGAACGTAGAACATCACGTTATGTTCGCATAACGCGGATATAAAACGCGAATTCAGCGAAAGCGAAGTGAAGAAGCAAAGCCAACGCTAGTGGAGAGTTGTGGTCTCATCAATTTTTCGAAATATTTTTGACGCTAAGGGAAAGTTGCCGTCGCATCCATTTTCTAAATAGATATTTCAATTTACTTTACCCCTATAGTATCTATTATCTATATTATAATATCTAGGATCTAATTTGAAGAAATCAATTCAAAAAATATTTCAAAAGTTGACGTAGTCAGAATCACCTACTAGGGCTTGCAAAGTCGAAAAAAGTAATCCTAGTGAACGAAAAGATGCAAACCTTAAGTGAATTGAGTTGTCATCAAACAATATTCCAAATCAGGCTGTGTGCCATTTAAGCACTAACTTTTTCCGCAAGATCTCTTCCAGATTCAATTTTCTATAATGGATAGAGTAGAAAATGTAAATAAAAAAAATAACGAGGCTCGTTCCTTGCTATAAATAGAAGTTATTAGCAAGAAGACCTATGGCAGAACTCTACGCAGACAGGTCAATTTACACTATTCAAGCTCTTCTAGCAGAAAAAATGAAGCTCAAAGTCGCTTGCTAACAGAATGAATAAAAAGTGAGAAAGTACTTTGTAAGGTGTAACACTAGCTAAGTCAATCCAATGGAGAGTAGAGCAGTTATAAATGATAATGAATTCATCATCTATCATTCGTAAGCGCATCCATTTACATCCATACAAAACATGCTCACGATTCTCATTCACACATACGTTATATACATATTCGCACAGACACGTACATAGATACGTACGCATTCATATACGCATATGCATCGCAGAAAGGGCCATATTTGTCCATGCATGTATAGATATATGTTCACACTTATATACACATAGATGATTGTAGTAAATGTGAACACGATATTCTCACACTTATATACACATGGATAATTGTAGTAAATTTAGATACAATAACGTCCTTGCTCATTTTGCATGACTCGTCACCACATATAATGCGCAGACCCAACTTTTCATGCATTCCGCTTCCTCGCATACACCAACTTTTGCTCGCAGGTTCGTTTGCCACTTTGAGTTTTGAGATATCCGTGCCAGGGCATCCTTCGTGGATTAGTGGCAGTCGGTTGACCAAAGATAAGTGTTGTAATAATTTGAGGACTTCGGAGCAATGTGAGACTTGATGATCTTGAGGCAGGGTCAAATTAGCACCTTGTTAGTGATGGACGACATCTTTGCCACTTCTCTACTCACTCAACGAGAATATCACTTGTATCATCTGCCGTCCCGTTGATCGTCGAGTGACTCGAGCGGGTACCAGCAACACTTCCATTTTTCCCTATCGCGTGCAAGAGTAGCCCAGTGGGTCCTCCTCGCTCTAGGGATTCGGCAGAGTATTATACCTTTCTTCTATGCCTTTCGTGAAGAAATCGGACCATGGTAGGTGTCCTTGTGTGGAGCTATATATCCCACGGAATCCAGTCGGTAACTGCTCTCGTCCATCGGTTGTCGTTGGAGTGCATCACGTGTCTGACCCACCTTATTTTCGATATCCTATCCGACGGAAAAAAAATATATATAATATAATATATATATATATATATATATCACTCCTAGTACTTGATTTGACCTGTATCACTACTTTAATGGTTTATTCGCATTCCTCTATCATTCAATTAGTTTCCTCACATTCATCGCTTGTTTGGAAATTCTATCTTCTTCACAAACGTGTATAGAATAATGGGTCGAGCATGTCAAGTTGGCGACGGCAGGGTGGCGCATTGGTTGGTGATGCAGCGCATCAGTAAGCGAGTCGGAAAATTCTATGGTTCGATCCCTCCCTCCCAACGCTCTCTCGCAATCAGTGAACTGTCTCCGAAGAATACCCCAACTCGGCTACCTCCGAGATGGCACGGAGAAACGTTTCAACCATATTCTACGGCACGTATAAAATGGACAAAATCCTCACGCAGTAGAACAAACACTGAAATATTCAAAGACCTTGTGAAGGATGAATTTTATGAAATGAGTTGAATGTATGAAGCACTAGAATCCGCACAGTGTTTTGCTACAGCGTGTTATAGAAAATAAAACAGTAATGATGTAGATTGGTGTAATGCAGATAATGCGCTCCCGGACAGAGTGAAATGTGGGTTCGAATCCGAGCTGACGCAAGCATTTTTGCACACCACTCTACATTATTAGGTATGTTGTTACACCATACCACCGCAAGTGGCGACCAAACAAAATGAATTCTGATTAAGAGAATTGAGTGGTGAATAAAAACACGGCCTCAGGCGGGAATCGAACCCACGTTTCATCCTATCCGGGGACGCGTGCTCTACCATTACACCACTGAGGCACATTTGCCCGACCACTCATTCTTCAACATCTCAATGTTAGCTATCAGCCACCAACCTTTTGACAAGTTTGGTCGGGTATACGATTTCCGGAAACGGAGGCCGTGTTTTGTTCACCACTCAATTCTCTTAGTTATACAAGTAACGTAATAGCACTGCGAAAAAAGCAGCGAAAGTACTATAATTTTGAGTTCTGATTGATTAACAATACCCAATACCTGTCAGTATAAATGAGTTCAATGTCGATAACGACTACCCACGCCAGACCGTTGACGGTTGGCTGTTGATAGATAACGCGTTATAGCGTAGAAAGAGTGGTGTGAAAGCGAGCGTGGGTAGTGCAAAGGTTTAGCACTTGCTCCCGGAAAGGGTGAGACGTGTGTTCAAATCCCAGCTGACGGAAACGTTTTTGCACACTACTCTACATTATTGGGCATATTGCATCATCATACCACCGCAAGTGGAGATCAAATAAAATGAATTCTGTCTAAAAGAGTAATATATAGTTTAAATATAGAGAATATGAAATATACATAATAATATGCATATGCAAAACACTTGCAATCTTGAAGAAATGCATCTATGCAGACAGACTACACATTACGTACTGAATATGGAAAGGCTTCTGAGAGCATAGGAATGCTGTCTTTTCTGAATTAATCGCACGTACGCATCACGAAGGATTCATTCCAAATCGGAAATTAAACTAAGGAAAGTTTACGAATGCAGGCGTTGCACTTTTATCGGATGTATACTTCAGTACACTTCAGAGTACACTTCAGAGAAGATAAATGATAGTATAACATGTCCATTCGCTGTTTACAATGGAAGAACGGAAGAACTGCGGGCTACCTATCATCGAGCCAATATTTAATACTTTCAGACAAGCGATGTGCTAAACCAATCAGATAACATACTCTGGTTGAATGGATTGCCAACGACTACGGATTTATTGCAGATATCGCTAACCACTGCGCAGAACACTCTTTAACTACAGAGACATAAGATTGAATCCTTTCCAAGAAAACACGAATCTGAGTTCGAGTAGAAGGGGAGAAGTTTCTTTCACTCTACATAGAGATGCATTATTTATAATCTATCTATAATTTTCTATACAAGCAAAATTAGGCCGCTCTCCTCATCAAATTAGAAGCAGAAGAATCTATATACCTTCCAGAATTCTCTACTAGGTCTTTCAGAATCTACTCAGGAGCTAACGAAGCTGTGAATGTAGGAATGTACTTTGTCGAATATGCAATCAGTGAACATTTGAAAATAAAGAATATCATTACGTTCGTCTACGCTGCAAGTCTTTAGACAGTGGTACTTTTAGAGCCCAATACACGTGTTTCGACCTTGCAGTCTCGTCAGTCGGGTAGTTACCCTTTCTCGTCTTTTTTTTTTACTGGACATAGAGTGTAAAACGTTCGTCGACGCTATCTCATAGTGTGGGGACTGGAGCACCCACACAGGATTGGCAAAAGACGAGAAACGGTAATTGCCCGACTGACGAGACCGCAAGGTCGGAACACGTTTATCGGGCTCTATAAGTCAGCCCATCTTAACAGACCACGTGACATGCGTGAATCAAAAATGGTTAAGCGACCCATATAATTTTAATATGACGATGCACGATTGGATCCTTACAAGGATTTGCGTTCATTGATAATGAGAAGAATTGATTAATAACTGAAAAAGGAGGGTAGATGGCCGGTGGAGAAAAGAACGGTGGAGCGGATGTAAGCTTCTTTCTTGACTGACCTTTTAAAGATCGGCGGACGGATCCATGGCCATCGTCAATCATCTCATTAGTAGATGAGGACGATTCCACAATTGCAGAGTAGAATTTGCCGACATTACCATGTCCGAAGGAGAGCACCTTCATAGGCGAGATTGAGGCAGAGAAACGAATGGAACATGTGCTTGGACTTCACATCTATTTAAAAAAACATACAAACCAATTTTTTGGCACTTTGGTATTCTAATGATCTGTCTTCATACTGTTTTTCTTTTTTTCACAGTGTGGATCCCAATACTTCCAACACAGCTTCTTTTTTTTGCCTTCTTCTTGAACGTCATAGAATCCTGGTTGTACACATCTCCTTGCAATCTCGAGTATAGCCTGACTGTGGCATTCCATAAGGCCTTCGTTGTTGACTGCCAGAGAGCGTTGTGAGGTGTGGTTCGGCCCACGCGCACCGCGACGAGCATCACAACTCGCTCGACCACGGAACACCCTACCTATTTATTATGAACTAAATTCTTAGAAATTGAAAATAATGTAATTTCACATATGCACTCGCCCTAAAATGTCAGGAAAGTTGCGAAGTATATGAATATGAGAGATACTTTATTTCTAAATGAATCCCATTGTCGATCCCATTCAACCTGCTCACCACGGTGAACAACAATGGAGTTCTCTAGTCGATAGAAACGCTTAAAGGAAGTTCCAACGATAACGCTAATGATGGTGATGGTGGTGGTGATTGATGATGATTGTGATGTTGGGATGAATGGACGAGTATTTCGGCAACGTAGTAAGAGATTTTGATCATAGGAGTTCAAAGAACTAAGGAAAAATCGTCAATAGATACGGGGTGACAAATATTCGAGGTCGAAATTGGTACATTTCTATTTATGTCGTCTCCTTGCGGCAGTCTTCACCGCATTACGCCATGGAGCGTGAAAATCAGGAAGGAAACGTTTGAGTTGAGCGGTCGATGCACGTCGGTACTACCTTCATCATTAGCACGTCAGTACTACCTTTATCATTACCATCTTCTTCTCTGCCACCGCCACAACTCTTACGTCTGCAGTCGCCTGGATTTGAAGATTGAACAGTAACAACTTTTTTATGCAGGTGAAATCACTATGAAAAAACACTCGAGCTAGAGCAAAGAAGCTCGATAGATGCTGAATTAACCTTGTCCGACTCACACAATGGGTAAACGCATGAATGGACGAAGGCGGACGGCGTAGTGGTAATAACCTTGTCCTTCACAAGCTCAACGCTTGTCAAAACTCCACTTGACATTTCAAGTGTCAAAACTTGACCTGCACCAAACTGTTCATTCCTGCAGAACTGCTAAATTGCTACCAAAATTGTATAAGCTCAGCTTTACTCCCTCCAACTCAGAAGTGAACGCTCGAGCACGATTAACGAGTTCAAGACGTTCTACATCAATCAACATCACATGACGTTCACGGCTAAGATTGAAATCCTCATGCTGAAAGCATACTCAGGCGCAAGGAACTCAAAGACCTTTTTGTTCAGATGAAAGAAAATAAACAAATTCAAGAAGTGCTGATACATGTACAGAGACGTGAAGATAGACTACTTAGAAATTTGCTACCGAACATGGCAAACGTAGAACCAGGATTTGGAATTTTTCAGCTTTACATTACTTTTTCGTAAGTTAAATCTTCATCTGTTTTGAGCATCAGTGCCTACAAGCTTCTTAAATGATGTCAAGCTTGAATGCTTAGAATGCTTTGAATGTACAAGCTTGAATGAAGCTATTGTTTTTTATGCAATAAAAGTCTGAAAGAATTCAACGAATATTTAATGGCTGCAACATGCATTAACCTTCATTAAGCGTTGTATACGTGAACGGACGCATACTTGGCTGATAGATCGGCACGCATGAACTTTAACGATCTGTCAAGTAAGTGTATTAAACCTACAAGAAAAGTCTTGCACCACATTGTTGGCTCCAAGGCCGAATGAGGTCTACTTAGCCAGGAGCGCGGAACAGAACCCACAACTGCCTGTATTGAACTGGACTTCTACACAGTACATTATTCGCAACCCTTTCAGAAAATATTTTAGCAACTCACTAGCATTCAAAAAGGATGGAAAAAGTCAGATGGAAAAGCTAATTCGCGCAATCAAAATTTTCCGTGGTGGTCAAAAAGTTGCTGAGTCAGTCTTCGTGACATTTCCAAGAGAGGTTCCAAAAAAAGATCTTCAACACTCAGTTTAAGCTGCGCACATTTCTCATATGCCACTGTGAATGGTTAATGGGTGCGTTAAGTGAATGGTGTCGATCGATGTAAATTGTAGCTAAAAGGTGGATGCTTTCTCTGTTTGCCCTATGAGTATCAAAAACTATGACAGAAAGTGCCATATCTGACCTCAATAATCGAAAAGGCGTTCTGAATCTGCTATGCGAGATTTGCTGTTACATTATTTAAGAGCGAAGAGCAATGAACAGAATCTCAGAAGGGCAACTGACTAGCTTTCTATATATAAGGTTTTTTTCTATAGGAGTGTCTCTATGCTTCCATTTGGGCATAAGTGTTGCCAACAATATTTTGAGTCAAAAATAAAGCAATGAAGATCAACAAACGCTCATAAGCTTAATTTTGAAAAAAAGATTAACGTAGGCATAGAAGAGAACTGCTGCAAAACAATGGTGAGCAAAGTTTACCAAATCATTTTTATGTGCTAGAAAATCTATTGCAACAATCCACAAAGACGACGAACAGAGGATTTGTTCAATTGACTGAAATCTGTGTTAATTTTCCATCATATGCAACTTTCACCAGTTGTGAATCGTGTCGTTATCAAAACGTCAATAAGGAACAAGCGTGCAAAGAACCGTGATAACGAATATGTATGTAAAATGAGCTAAAACCGGTCAACTGGCATTCTGCAGTGATGAAATAAATCAGTCGAACTCGGAAAAGTACCTCGACAATTGCGCGTTCCTGCGTTCATCATCGTCCAGCTAAAAGGTCTATTAACTTCGTTCCAGTTTATATATCGCATTTCTCAAGGAACTACTTCTTCGAAAAGAGAATGCTTTGACCACATATCGATTTTTGGCTGAATCTGAAAAAAGGTGTTTGTGGTAAACTTACGTTTCGGTTATTATTTGGTGTTCTATGAAAATGTGCCTCTGGAATCTGTGAATGTTGCAGCATTATAAGGATCACCATAAGGAGCTCGTGAAACATTTGTGTTATATCGTTTAGACGAAAAGAAAACCCAAACCGAGTTGAAGACGAAGGATCAAAGTTCAGACACTAGTCAAGATTTCAAGGATGAGGCTTCACAGGTGATAGACTTCGATGAAATCACTGAAGTGAAGCCATTAGCGGCTCAGCACTACGGAATGTTTGCATAGCTAGAAGACCGCCAATTAGGTGATCTTTACGAAGATACCAAAAGAGAAATATTATGGTCTTCAAGTCCCTGAACAACCAAAATCTAGAGGGATTTTTGTGCCATGCGGCAGATACTAGTATATGCATTACTAACAACTACATAATCCACTTGAAAAAGAGCGGAACACAGATGTTCTATGAAATGCCACAGCCAAGCTATCCTCGAGATTACAAGGAGACGTGCTCAACCAGTATTCTACGACGTTCAAGAAGAAGACGAAAAAGTTTGAATG